TCAAGTGCAGTCAAATAAAAATCATGCTTCCTCTGTTCGGAAACTGGTATATACTTTATAATATGTATATTATAACTAGTGAAATTGGTGTGGGGGGACAAGGTACCATCTGACCTGTCTCCCCCACCCCCACACCACCCACATCTCCTCCCCCATCCCCCACCACCCCACATCTCCTCCCGCCCGGCCTCTCCTATAACGGACCGTGCCCCAGAACGCGAAAATCTGCTGTGTCATTGCACTCTCGAAACCAAAGGACATGTAGGAATTCTTATGGAGGGTTTGCGCGGGCCGGATGTTGGAAACAATGGGAAATGTTTGCACTTTGGCGCACTTTCTTTTGTTTACTTTTCGGTGTTTTTTTACGTTTCTTAATGTTGTTGTTTTTTATCGTTGGTTTACTGTTATTATTTGCAGTGGTGGTAGTACCGTTATTATTGTTAGCATTGTTATTATTTTCATTAACATTGATATTATAAATCTTATTATCATCATCAGATGTATTGCTGTATCATTATCATTAGTATTATAATAATCAATATCATTATCATTATTATCAATCAACATCATCATCATTATATCATTATCAATCATCATCGTCGTCATCATCATTATCATTATTAACATTATCAATATCGTCGTCGTCGTCGTTCTCGTCGTCGTCAACGTCATCATCATTATTACATCATTACTGTCATCATCATCGTCTTCGTCGTCGTTGCCGTCGTCATTATTATCATCGTCACCATCATTATCATTATTACATCATCTTTAACATCGTCGTCATCGTCATCGCTATCATTATCATTATCATTATCATTTTCAGTATCAATATCATTATCATTATCATTATCAATATCAATACCATCATTACCATTATCATTATCATCATTATCACTATCATTATCATTATCACAATCACATTTAGTCACTATCATTATTGCTATCATCATCATCATCATCATCATTATGATTATTGCTATCATTATTATTATCATCATTATCAATATTAACGCAAATGAACAACTTAGGGATATCTCAGTCCAAAATATTACAACTCTCCAACGGGTCGATTAAGTTTTAAATATCTACTGGCAAGATCTATTAAACTTGCTCAAACTCTGCCAATCAATTTATTAATCTCCATATATTGTATTAATTCATCTCCATGTCTGTCTCTATCCCTAGTAATCTCTCTCTCTCTCTCTCTCTCTCTCTCTCTCTCTCTCTCTCTCTCTCTCTCTCTCTCTCTCTCTCTCTCTCTCTCTCTCTCTCTCTCTCTCTCTCTCTCTCTCTCTCTCTCTCTGTCTCTCTGTCTCTCTGTCTCTCTGTCTCTCTCTGTCTCTCTGTCTCTCTGTCTCTCTGTCTCTCTGTCTCTCTGTGTCTCTGTGTCTCTGTCTGTGTCTCTGTGTCTGTGTCTGTCTCTGTCTCTGTCTCTGTCTCTGTCTCTGTCTCTGTCTCTGTCTCTGTGTCTGTCTGTCTCTCTGTCTCTCTGTCTCTCTGTCTCTCTGTCTCTCTGTCTCTCTGTCTCTCTGTCTCTCTGTCACTCTGTCACTCTGTCTCTCTCTCTCTCTCTCTCTCTCTCTCTCTCTCTCTCTCTCTCTCTCTCTCTCTCTCTCTCTCTCTCTCTCTCTCTCTCTCTCTCTCTCTCTCTCTCTCTCTCTCTCTCTCTCTCTTTGTATCCATCTATCTTTATCACTATCTCTCTGCCTTAATATCCATCTCTATTTCTATCTGTCTTTCTCTGTCTATCTCAATCTATTTATATCTATCTATATTTATCTATCTCTATTCCTCTCTCTATATCTCTGAAATTCTGCAATCATCCTTAATGTAAGTCCACTTTACATCTTGTAGCTTTCCTTATATCTCATTTAGTTACTCACCATACACACATCATGTTAATAATTACAATCTTGGTCTTTTTCAGTCATAGCATGTACTTCTAAATTGGGAGGTACCTAAATCTTTGGTCAGGAAAATTATATTTATGCATCATCATATTAGACACACCTTGCTGAAGTCAAAGCCTGCATCAACGGTTTCTATCTTATGCCATCCTATACAACTTGGCAATTTCAATATTACCACTTATTACCTTGACATTTTCTAGTTTTAGGCTTTCCTTTAATGGTTTCTTTATTGTAGTTCGAGAGTGTGTGGCACAAGAGAGGATAATTTTCTCTAACTATTAAAGTTTAATAGTCTGTTTTATTATTCAATCTTGCCGAGATTCTTTATGCATTTTTGCTGTCTAATTGATTCCATAACCAGACCTTGTAAGCTTATATTTACCTTCTCTTACTTTTGATAACTAAGTCGTTTCCTTTTTTTCAAGCATTGTTTAATGTGATCCTGACATATTTTACTATCCTAATTCCTTTTAATTACTTTGTGTCATCATATTTGCTTTTAACCAAAGTGCCTAAGCATATGCTTTCACCTGTGTATGGATCATACAGTCATTGGAATCTAAATGATGTACTGCCAGAAGCTGAAAGTAGAGGCTAGGTTAGTCCCTTTTTTTTATTGTTTAATTTTTAAGTTCAATAATACTTTGCGTATCTCATATTTCTGAGTCACTCAACTCACAATAAATAAAGTACACTATAAACACTGCTTGCAAAGTTGTATTTATGTGAATATTTCTTGGAAAGCTTTCATCAGATTTTTTAAAGGGTCCATGACTCAAATTTTTAAAGGGGTCCATGAGTAAAAATATTAAGAACCACTGATATATGACCTTAGTAGTAGCTTTGACCTATACAAACACTTGGTCACTCACTCTCAAAATAACCTTTGCAGCATAATTGACAACACAGTGATTATATGAAAAACACCACTTCCTTAAAAATAAAATAATATAGATGATTTCTGATTGAGGTCAAGAAAGGGGAGGTGATGTCATTAAAGGATATATTTCCTTTATTTGCTTGCTTAACTGATCCAAGGACACGCTGGTTGATTACCCCATAGCAGCAGTTAGAAAGAGGTAGATTCAAGAGAGTTTAATCAAAACTGAGAATTGGCATAAAGAGGGTTTTGACAAGGACTACAAGACCACACTAAAGGTATGCACCAAACTCTTTTTCGCCTTACCTATGATGAAGCAAAATCAGAGATTTTAGCCTTTACAAGCTCATGGAAAGTATACAGGTTGTAGTATAATTTTTTTTGATTTTCATAATCTACAAATTGATCAGTTTGAAGTAAAAAAAAAATGTTTTAGTCTACAGTAAAATGATTTTAAAAATCTTGGAAAGAAAAACAAAAACATATTTCATATATATGGTATAATGATCTGATATAGTATAATATGAAATGAGCTACATAAATCTCAATACCATCATGTTTTTTCTATTCAAATTTTGGTTAAGCTAAGCTAGCTATTAACATTGCCTCACATTTCAACATCTCTCCTTTATTTTTCTACAATCTTGGGTAACCAGTAGTGTAAATATCAGTCTTTCCCATCCATGTACAACACTAATCAATTATATCATATAATTATGCATTTCTACATCTAATATAAATTGAATATCTACTTATTAATCCTTCCAACATGGCTACTAATAAACTGTACCATGGATAATACCTTCAAAGGCATTAGCAATGCATGGAATCATGGCATCACATCAAAATTGTCTATTATTTGAGGCATTTTTCCAGTGGTGACAGAAGGAACTGTATCAAAATTAGGCTAATTCAACTGAGGAACACTATTTACTGCTGCTGCATTTCATCTCAACATCCTCAATTGTAGGTCCCCTTAATTCTCTTGCAATTGCTCTTTTTCATATTAATATTATACATTAGAAAAAAAAGACTACTCATTTATTTCAAATTTCCCCACAATGCTATACCTACAATATAAAAATCACATAAGGACAAATAAAACTACTATGTGTTGTTTTCTTTTATACAATCAAGAATTCACTCACAATCTGGAAGAACTGACAGACAACCAACATTTATTAGTCTAGATGCTGCTCCTTAAAAGATAAAATAAATGACAATATTTTTTTCTATTCCATGGAGCAATAATTCAAGAAAAAATTATATAGCACAGCCAGATAGGTCATTCTAGAGTATAATTTTGACATTTATGACAAAATTTATGGATCTAAATCATGTTTTGGTACTAAATGATGTTTTGAATATTAAACACTGACAGGGTAATACATCACATGACAACATACATCACATACAGACTAACATTAACTTGGACAAAAATTAAGATGAAAAATCACAGTTTTTTTCTCTACATTTCTAATAATGTAGAATGCTTGCTCTCTTATAATCAATCATAACAAAACTTCAAAGAAAAAAAAAATAGATTAAATAACAACTAACAACTAACAATATTATTACTCATAGTATTTACAGTTTATATCAAAGTAGTGTCTGTCTTCCTCTTCGAGATCCAAGACACCTGCGTTGATGTGCTTGGTGAACTTGAGAGTCTCAGCATCACGGTAGACTAGGGCAAAGCAGTTGGAACGAGGCAGTACACTCAACAACTGAGGAGAAAACAAGTAAGAACTGTCAGTAGAAACAAATGGAGAAAGATTATTAAACACTTCATGATATTGTGTAAAAATTTTGCTATATTTTGGCAATCCTCTGCAGCAAGGTATTAAATTCATGATTTATTGAGTATTCAGCAGGCAGTACATGTGATTTAATTAGCGGCGAGAAGGATAAGATATGAAAATGCCTTCATTATCAAATGTTTGTGTGATAAACTTAATTTATTGAGTATTCAGCAGGCAGTACATGTGATTTAATTAGCGGCGAGAAGCCATTTTGAAACACTTTTGTTTATGACAATAAGGATAATGAATAGCTTCATACTAGATTTTGGACCTAAATATATTTTATTAATACTTCTTATAGAACTTAACTAAAAACCAAGTACTTACATATTTTTATGACTTATGTCATAAAATGCATTCTTATAAATGAACCTGTTCTAAACTTACATATAATAGCACCTATTTACAGTTTTTATTTTAACCCAAAATTTTCTTGTATAGTATCTTAGAGCAACAGTGCACACTATTACACAATTTCAATTCGTGCATAGCAATCACACACTCCAATCTCACACCACATAAAAACAGCACACATACCAGTAATTCCTCATACGCTACACTGTACCCTCAAACATATTCTTACTGATGAAGCTATTACAGCCTTACAAATCCTAATACCTCTTGTCACTCCCAACATGCCACACACCCTTATTACCTCTGCATCCTCATCCTTGCTGATATAGCTGTTATATCCTCCTAGGTCCTCTGTCCACTTGTCAGACACACACACAAAGAGAGTGGCATCCAGGGCACTTTCCTGCTCCTCCGCATCGCTGTCCCGGATAAGGGTGTAGGAGCCATGGCCCCAGCGCCCCACACGTGCCCGAAGCCGGGGGTTTGGCTCTGAAAAGGGAAAATAATGCCAGGAGTATAAATATCATCAACAATTAACAAAAGGATAAAGAAAACAAAGTTAAAAACAATAAAATGATAAAAGTAATATCAATCACCCAACAATAACTATGTAAAAAAATAAAAATAAAAGAAAGGACAACTAAGCAACAAAAATACAACATAACACCAGCAATATCACAGTGCCACATAAAACACACACCAACCTTTCTTTTCATCCTCCTCATCACTGTCTGGGTCTGAGTCAGGTGGAGCAAGCTTGTGCAGAGAAAGACCAGTCAACTGAGACAGGATAAGGAACATGGCCTCAGACTGTAGGACAGACAGGCACTCCTTCAGCACTTCCGGTTGCTTGTTGGTCAACACCTGCGAGTGTACAAAGTATCATCTAAGGTTTCCCTCATGGGTATCAGTGTGTTAATATTTCATATGTGCTTACCAATATGCACAAACCCCATTACAAGCCATTGGATTTGCTTTTACAGAAAAAAAAGAAGTTACTGGTAATTCAACATCAACTTCTAGAATCATGCAACTATTGGTAACTTTGATTTTGTAGAATCCCATCACAAATGAAACACTTTCTTCAAAACAGTTTAAGACACATACCTGATAGGAGTTCTTATCAGCAGGTCCTGTTCTCTTCCACTTCAATCCTTGATCCTTGAGAGCTGTGCTAAGTGCCTCATACTTCTCTTCTGTCAAAAAGCTTTCAAGTTCTATTTCTGAGTCTGTGCCAAACTTTTTTCGGATTGTTTTCTGCGTGCTTTCCTCCAGGTAGGCTGGGTTGATCCAGCTGTATAGTACATCTTCCTGTAAGTGTTTGAGATGTGTTAAATCTCTCAATCCCTATCAATCAAACATGAACCATCCAGGTTGGTCCTTGTACTTTGGGGGTCTATCAATGGGAGGACCATGGAACCAGCCGTTGATGGAGAGGCGAGTCTTGTCCTTGGATAAAACTTCTGCAACCTGCAATTAGATATATATATAATCATGACAGCTAATTACATACAGAAAGACCAGGATAAAAGGAAAATTGGACAGCACAATTTGTGCATGCTTAGAGTTTTCCTTCACTGAATCCCTAAAGCCACAAAGCTGATAATGGCATCAGCCAGAAGCAGAGACACTCTAATTAAGCTGTCATTAATGTATTTACTGGTAAAATGTAACCTTAATTAGTTATGATGACATAAAATTCCAAGGGAATAAAACCACAAAATAGAGTTTGGTGGTAGTGAAGCTATAGTTGTAGAAGTTGAGTTTATGTTAGAGGTGAAGTACTTGTGAACAATCTTGGTGGGTACTTTAACTTGAGGTGAGGACCAAAATACCAAGTTGCCTTCTGATACTGCCACCTCAGCATCCATACAACTGAACAACCAGACCCCTGTCTCGGTGACCTGGCATCACTAATAACCTGTGATCAAATTACGAGAGTAAAGTAATAATGAAGATTGTTCTTAGGGCTAACTTGATACTATCTTGCTTGTAATAAATCCAGTAATGTCTAGCCAGCATCCTCTACCACACCTACTATATCAACCTTACAACCTCATTCTCTTTGCAGGTCCTCTCTCCCTGAGCCATTTCCAGTCATGATCCCTGCCTTTTTTTATGAATGGAAAGTAGTAAGTGAAATTGTAACTCTGGTAATATATGGATATTCATACAGCCAATGCAAAATATAATTACATACAATACTGCCACCTGATTTCTATATCACCTTATCCCCGTCCTTTCTTACAATTATGCATTTCATTGCTTTATGGGATAATTATGGTCTGTTGTTTTACAGGGATGATTCCATGGGTGTGACAGAAGGAAACTTACGAAAAAGTATCATATATATTAGTAGACACTATATCTTAATAACAGGTTTATAAAAAAAAAAATTGAAAAGCCTTGCATGATCATGGTGATTGGGACTGACTGCAAATTATGCAGTAAAACACGACTGTGGTAATAAGACTCAGGGGGTCAAGCCGAGAAAAGAGGCTGTCATTCTAGTACAGCTTCCTTGGGGAAAGGTGGATAACATTTTAGAAAACATCCTTATTTTGCAGGCCAATTATATGAAACATAGATGAAAATGACTACAATACATTTCTCTCACATCCCTACATCCTTACAGAAGCAACTTGCAACATCTATGACAAATAAGCCAACCAGTCAGTAAGCTACCAGCATCACATGTCCCCACATAATGATGATGAGTGCTGATAATGAGGATGAAAATAAGTGATGAGATAATGACAATTATAATGAAATTATAATGATAACAATAATGCTTGTGATAATGATAATGATGATAATTTCATGTTTTCTTTCTTCAAAATATGCCTACTAACACGAACCTTAAAATTGCAAAAAAAAAAAAAAAAGTTTTTAGGGGTCTACACAAAATTGAGAGCACTTATCTAATACCTTATTTACTAGACTACCACCTCTTAAACCTAAACAAGTACATGTACAAATATTCCATAATATACTCATACCTGATGGAATGAAATGGGAGAGACCTCGAAGAAGGCAAACGTGTTCCACTGTGGGACTAAGGATCTCACAATGTTCTTGGGCTGGCCGTTTTCTGAAGAAATAAGGAAAAATAATTGCTGCTGCCTTGACAAAGCTTTGACAGAAAACATGTATGAATGAAATCAATACACAAAAAAGTAAAACCAAAAGCAGACATAAATGAAACTGCATGAACGAGGTAGGAGATGAAGTACAAGGTGCAGGGGGATAAGAAGAGTAGAAGAGAACAGAGAGGACAGAGAAGGAGGAGGAAAGAAAAAGTGGGGAAGGAAAAAAAGAAGAGGATAGTAAGGAGGAACAGAAAGGAGGAGGAGGAGCAGGAGAGGAGAAAAGGGAGGGCAAGGAGAGAAGAGGAAAAGGAAGAGAAGAAGAGGGTGAGATGAGGATGAGGAGAGAAGAGGAAGGGGGAAGTGAGAATAAGAGAGAGGAGAAAAAAAGAATATAGATAAGGGGGAGGGAAAAGAAAGGAGAAGAGAGGAGATAGGAGGAGGAAGAAGAGAGGAAGAGGAAGAGAAGAGAAAGGCAAGAGGAAGAGGAGGAAGGAAGAGGAAGAGAAGAGGAAGAGAAAGAGGAGGAGAAGAGAAGGAAGAGGAGGAGAGGAAGAGGAGAAGGGAAGGAGAAGAGAGGAGGGAAGAAGGAAGAAAGAAGGAGGAGGAAGAGGAAGAAGAAGGAGGAGGAGGAGGAGAAGGAGGAGGAGGAGGAGGAGGAGGAGGAGGAGGAGGAGGAGGAGGAGAGGAAGGAGGAGGAGGAGGAGGAGGAGGAGGAGGAGAAGGAAGGAAGAGGAGGAGGAAGAGGAGAAGAAGGAGGAGAGGCAGGAGGAGGAATTGGAGGAGGGAGGAGAGAGGAGGAGGAAGAGGAGGAGGAGGAGGAGAGAGGAGGAGGAGAGGAGGAAGGAGGAGGAGGAGGAGGAGGAGGAGGAGGAGGAGGAAGAGAGGAGGAGGAGAGGAGGAGGAGGAGAGGAGGAGGAGGAGGAGGAAGGAGGAAGGAGGAGGAGGAGGAGGAAGGAGGAGGAGGAAGAGGAGGAGGAGGAAGAAGAGGAAGGAGAGGTAGAGAGAAATAGGAGGAGAGTAGAAGGAAGGAGAAGAGGAGGAAAGAGAGAGGAGAGGAGAGAGCGGAGGGGAGAGGAAGGAAGAGAAGAGGAGAGGGAGAGAGGGAGAGGGAGAGGGGAGAGAGAGGGAGGAGAGGAGAGAGGAGAGGGAGAAGTGGAGAGGAGAGAGAGAGAGGGAGAGAGAGGAGAGGGAGAGGGAGTGAAGAGGGAGAGGGAAACAAAAAAAGAAAACAAGAACAAGAACGAAAAGGAAAAGGAAGAAGAATGAGAATAGAAGAAGAAAGAGAATGAAGAAAATAAAGGAAGAAAAAAATGAAGAAAAGGAATAGAAAGCATGAGGACTAGGAAGGCAAGAAATAAACGAATAACCAAACATGAGGAGGAGGACGTCATAAAAAAGGCAAAAATGAGAAAGGACAATATAAAACCTAGTCGCACATACTGTCAGTATTGAAGAGATCAAGTGTGCCACCGTCACTTGCTTCCCACGATGGCACCAGGTACAGGATATAAGCTATGCGACGACCTTCCAATTCATCATCATGGCATAATAACACGTCTGAAATTTGAACAAATTACCCACAATTCCAGTGTATTATCCACGACATTAGAATAGTGTAATACAAAAATAAAACAATAAATAGAATAAAATAATAATAATAAATAATGAAAATAATAATAAATAAAAAATAAAATAATAATTAAAATAAATAAACTTAAAAAATAATAATAATAATGAAATGTTAAAATTTATAATACTCATTTGTCAACCTACACTTCAACACTTCAACCTAAATATCATGAGACAGAAGGAAAAATGATGTCTTCTGTTCACCTGTATGCTTATAGGTCGAGGAACCCATGTCGACTGTCTCATTCAGTGGTATGCCAGTTACATCTGTCAACCACTTTCTGAAATCCCCATACAAGAAATCTCGAAGGCTCGAAATATGGGGTTTGTCTGATGACTTCAGATCTGGAGTCTGTGTAAACTACATGGAGAAAAAATATAAGCATTAGAGATGTTAAAACTTTCTATAAGCAAATACATAATAGTCATTTACTTCTTTCAGGCATAAGCTGAAGATTCATATCCATTATAACAAGCACTACAAGACTATATTTATACTGAATGTAGTAATCACCTTGTACAAATCATTATTCTTCTTAAGTGGGGGAATGTCCTTCAGTTCCTCTGCAATGCTCTTCAGTATGTCAGCATTCTCCAGAAAGCCAGGCAAGTAACCACAGGTGAACGGCTTCTTAATTATTTCTAAACCATTATCTAAAGAAAAAAGAGAATTATTTAGTTTTAAAAAATCTCAACTGATTACATATCTACCTTAGAATTCATCATACAAGACTTTGCTGCCATATCTGTCTTGTTTTGAATGTGCCCTTATGTAAACCAGTTAAAAGAGAAGTAAAACATAAGCAGTAGCATCTATATCAAAATTTCCATTTCTGAAGCATTCCTGAAAAGCTAACTAATCTCGCTTCAATTAGTAATACTGATTAACATTCTGATTCCAAAACTACTAAAGAAAACAATATCCTTGTTCTTGAATAAACTATTACAAATATTCTCAACATCATAGCTACATTCATAACTTCTCACTAATCAGTATAAGTGAACAAGTATTCTGCATTAAAAAAAACTAAAACTTTAAGTCATCCTATACATTTTAAAAACAAACCTGAATAAATAAACATTCACCTTTTTTAAGTGGCTCCCCATCTTCGGTCCAGTGTCTCTTAATCTCATTTTTGTTGGAAAGGTCGCTGTATGCAGTATTTAAGTTCACTGCTCCAGGTGTAGGCTTCTTTTTCTTCTTTTTCTTCTTTTTCTTCTTTTGAGCTGGAGTTCCCACATCCCCTTCAGGAGGTTCATCTTCCTCTGCCCCCTTGGGATCCTGCACCTCATCTCCTGCTGTATTGTTTGTACCAACTTGATTCTGCATCAACTTTTTCTTCTTTTTCTTAAGCTTTTTTTCCCACACCACTTTCCCATCATTCTCGTTCTCCATTTCTTTGGTCTCACTATTTGCAGCAGGCATATCAACTTTCTCTTCTTTCCCGGAATTCATTTTCTTCTTTTTGACAGTTGTTTTGCCATCCTCATCATTTTCTGTATCTTTCACATCCACAGGTTCACCTTCATCACCTACCTCCTCCAACTCCCTCTTCTTCCCCTTGTTTTCCATTGGCCTAGTTTCATTATTTACATTCTTCCCTTTCTTTTTTCCCTTGCCTTCCACTGGTGTATCTTCCTTATTTACCTTCAATTTCTTTTTTCCCTTGCCTTCCACTGGTGCATCTTCATCATTTACCTTCAACTTCTTTCCTACAGCTTCTACTGGTCCACTGGTATTCTCATTATCATCTGATTTCTTTAATTTCTTGCCCTTCGCTTCTGGGGAGTTTACCTGTGTGTCTGTTCCTACTTGTCCTCCAGCTGTCTGCACCCCATCAACTGTTTCCCCAGCACTGTTGGTTCTTGCCCTTTTCTTGCCCCTCTTCTTCTTCTTCTTCTTTGTCTGCTCTGGGGCTGCCCCATTGGTAACGTTCACTGCAATCTTCTTCTTCTTCTTTCCTCTCCTTTTCTTCTTCTTCACAGGTTGTCCATCGGCACCTGCTGCATTAGCCGAAGTCTCCTGTTCAACTTCATTGACTTTCTTCATCCTTTTCTAATAGTTTTCTGTCAGATGAACCATAAGTCTGTGGTTTACTGCATTCCTTTATGAAAAAAATACAGATGACAATAATATTACATATCACTACAAAACAAAAAGTTATCTCATACAAGAAAAAGATATACAACTCATAGATCAAATAAGTTCTAGCTAAAAATCCTCAAATATCTTAAAATGTGAAATAAGGGAGACCATGTTGGAAATGGCAAGTCTACCACTTCACTACTTCAGTTTCTACATCAATCCCTTTCTTCTTTTTAAATCAGAAAAAAATATTTTGAATAAATATCTGCAACACTCAATATGATAAATAATATCCTTCAAAACTTTGACTTTCTGAAAAGTGATGTAATTATTTCTCATAAATATATTTTTTCCTTTACAAATTTAGCAAAAATAATCATTCCAATAGACTAATACTATTACAATTGACATGTGAAATTCACTCACATCCAAAAATCAAATATTAATATCACAGAAATTGTTACAAACAGCCATCTCTCTATCTCTCTCTCTCTCTCTCTCTCTCTCTCTCTCTCTCTCTCTCTCTCTCTCTCTCTCTCTCTCTCTCTCTCTCTCTCTCTCTCTCTCTCTCTCTTCTCTCTCTCTCATTACTCAAACTCACACACTAATTCAAACTCACTTACTAGCTCATCAACTTACTCACTATCAAACTCACTCACTTATCAAACTCACTCACTCATTAAACTCACTCACTCATTAAACTCACTCACTCATTAAACTCACTCACTCATTAAACTCACTCACTCACTCTCTCATTAAACTCACTCACACTCAAACTCACTCTCAAATTCACTCACTCACTCAAAACTCACTCACTCACACACTCATCCACTCAACTTACTCAACCACTTCCTACTTCAAACTCACTCACCAATTCAAACTCACACTACTCAAACTCAAACACGCAATTAAACTAACTAACTAACTAACTAACTAACTAACTAACTCTCACTCACTCACTCACTCACTCACTCACTCACTCACTCTCACTCACTCACTCACTCACTCACCCACTCAGTCATTCCCTCACTCATACACTCACCCACTCAACTCACTCACTAACTCAACCATTTCCTACTTCAATCTCACTCACAAACTCAAACACACAATTAAACTAATTCACTCATTAAACTCATTAAACTCACTCCACTCACTCACTCACTCACTCACTCACTCACTCACTCACCCACTCACCCACTCACCCACCAACCCACCCACTCACTCACTCATTCACTCAATTAATATTTAACTCTCACTTACTTATGAATGAATGAATGCACTCACTCACTCTCTCACTTTTTGCCATTTACTCTATAAAAAGTTGAACACATCTCTGTTGATAGGTCCTAATAATCCTGCATTAATTTGTTTATTTCAGCAAAACTACTGGGATTTTAGAAACATAAATAATAATATTAACTGGTCTACACTTATCCGTTCTCATTTCCTATACGGAAATAATTGAAATGTACCAATAGCATATAGCTGTGAAGTTTTGAAAAATTGAAGGCAATAATGGTAGCACAAGGCATGCTACGCTTAGCTGTCCTAATGGGTAGGAGACCCAACAGACACAGAAGTTCTTGTCGAGAAAATACACAGTAAGGGTTTATTTGATGTTTCTAGAGAATCACAATGCCTGGCATCACTTTACACTCATGTCACTGTAATCACTGGCTATCATGGTATATATATATTAAGTTTGAAGGTATAGCAGAAATGTGTGTATGGCAAATTTTGCCATAGAAAAGCTTGTTTTACCTATCAATTTTTCTTTTTCCCCAGACCCCCCAAGCTACAGATGCCAAGTTCTAGGTTTGTATCGGTCTATCGAAATTTATAGGTTTTAACTCCCAATTCAGACCCCACCTCGTTCTGTATATTGTCCATAATATCGTTATTACAGTACATTCATCTGTGGGTTAATATTCCCATATACAGAAGCAGACTTCATAACCAGTCCACTCATTGCAATATTGTTAGACCGATATTACGAAATTCGCAAAGTAAAGGGGATACACAACGCCAATCCGTAAACATTCAACAGCTGACTCCCAAATAAAATACTTCCAATTTACAACTAATGAAATAAATATCACAATTCTAAATACACTCTTCTTTAACTAGATCATATATACATAATTACCAGCAGGTTATCTTGTGGAGTCGATGTAAGTTTTGAGAAAGCGGAGACCACGAAAGCGTACGCTTTTAGGGGCTTTTCAACGCATGTGGGTTTGTGTACATTGTACTGCGTTCTTGTAAGCGAATCCCCGTGAATCCGCCGGTAATCCGCTCGATTGTTTGATTAAAGGTTTATAGCAAATGTGTGTCTCAGTTATAATGATAATCATGGTATTTGAGTGAAGTTTGGAATCTCAGAGAGCAAAATAACATATCTATATTTCACAAATCCATTCGGCACTATGGTGACTGATGGCAGAAGAAATGTGTGAACTATAATGAAATTCATGAAATTTAAGTTCAGAACATTGTTGAGTAGAACAATTTCCAGCTAATGCAGCTTATCTATATATCTGTCATGATGAATCAATTCGATATCATTTAATGCACAACGGATTTTCAGCGGTACATATGATTTATTCCATATATTCCTATTTTTACTTAAATATATACATAATGCACACACAGAGCGAAACATACGTATATGTTCGAGCATTGTTATCATGATCATTATTATTATCATCACTACTACTACTATTATCATTGTTATCATTATCATTATTATTATTGTTGTCGTTGTTGTTGTTATTAGTATTATTATTATTATCATTATTATTTTTTTCTATCATTATCATTGCTATTATTATTATTATCATTATTATTATTATTATTATTATTATTATTATTATTATTATTATTATTATTATTATATATTATTATATATATTATTATTATTATTATTATTATTATTTATTATTATTATTATTATTATTATTATTATATTATATATTATTATTATTATTATTATTTATTATTATTATTATTATTATTATTATTATTATTATTATTATTATTATTATTATTATTTTATATTATTATTATTATTATTATTATTATTATTATATTATTATTATTATTATTATTATTATCATTATTATTTTTATTATTATCATTATTATTATTTATTATATCATTATTATTATTATTATTATTATTATTATTATTATTATTATTATTATTATTATTATTATTATTATTATTATTATTATCATATTATTATTAT